TTGGACATTTTAGTAACCTTGGAAAAGATCGATTTATAAATTTGCGCTTTTACTTTCGATTTAAGCTTTTACTCGATGTTTTTTTTTTAATTAATCCTATTCCTATTAATTAACCTCATAAATTTCTTTTAATATTTCTTTAAATATCTCGGAAACTGTAAAAAGGAATTTAGCAAATTTAGCAAAATACGTACAAACATATGCTTATTTTTGGATGAGATATATAATAATATTAATTTTTGCCTGTCTATTTGAGCCAAAAAGGGCATTGTAGATGCTGTAAAATAGTATCTAGTTCTAATTATATTAAAAATTGGAATATAAGATTCTTATAACGCGAGAAAAAATATTTATTAATAATTGAGTACTGACAATTTTTTAATAATTAATGTAGAAACGATCTATTCTAGATTAATTTCAATTGGAGAAAGTAGAAGGTTATGCATTAAGGAGATATGAAAAACATTGGAAATCTTTATATAAGAATTTCGAGGTACATTTTGTAAATACAATTACTAAAATGTGCTCATTTATTAATCGTTTATATAATTTTATTTTTTTTTGCATTTAAAGTGTTTTAGTGTCATAATGTTGTGTACAATATTTCAAATAAACAAGCAAAAATTAATATTATCTTTATATTACATTGTTTCCAAGATATTGTAATTTTTAATAAATAGAAAATATAGGATTTTAAAAATCCTTTATTTGGACATTTTAGTAACCTTGGAAAAGATCGATTTATAAATTTGCGCTTTTACTTTCGATTTAAGCTTTTACTCGATGTTTTTTTTTTAATTAATCCTATTCCTATTAATTAACCTCATAAATTTCTTTTAATATTTCTTTAAATATCTCGGAAACTGTAAAAAGGAATTTAGCAAATTTAGCAAAATACGTACAAACATATGCTTATTTTTGGATGAGATATATAATAATATTAATTTTTGCCTGTCTATTTGAGCCAAAAAGGGCATTGTAGATGCTGTAAAATAGTATCTAGTTCTAATTATATTAAAAATTGGAATATAAGATTCTTATAACGCGAGAAAAAATATTTATTAATAATTGAGTACTGACAATTTTTTAATAATTAATGTAGAAACAATCTATTCTAGATTAATTTTGAAATGGTAGGAGAATGGAAAAAAGTGGAACAACAAAATAAAATAATTCAGAGCAAGCTAGACATACGCTCTCACCAAATTGAATCTCAAATAAAATATCTTGACACAATTTAGTACTATGGGACTTATTTAATGAAAAATAATAATAATAATAATAATATATATCTTTCTCTGTGTATATATCTATCTATCTATTCGGTAAATATTTTTTTATACATATCATACTTTATATTTTAATCATGTACGCTTAGGTGCATTAATAATACTCGATGCGTTTGCATTAATAAAATTATTTTATGTGCATATGGTTTACAGATTTTTTTTATCATTCTGTTAATCTGAAATATTTAAATCATACAATTAATTATGCAAATAAAAAAGTATAATTTTTTACTATGTAAATTAATATATTTTGTAAATGTTATAAAAACAAACTTGTCTGCTGAATATAAACATGCTAGATCATTAATGTATCGAAATGTACCATTTGTTTTAAATTTAATTTTGGTTTTTGTCTATAATATCTGTCATATCTATAATATTATTTTTTAATTCTTATTTATCCATTTTAATATTCTAGTAGTTTATAAATGTCCAAAGTGACTTGAGATATAATCTTCTCAATTTAACGTATTTATGTGACCTATTTTTATTATAATTTTGCATTTTTTAACTAATTAACATCAACGATTTTACTTATGTACCGTTATTCCATTTGTTTTTCTTTAATTTTTGTTACCGTTAATTAGTGCTGAAAATGACCCAGAAAAAGAGTCGAAACGTACGCAATTCATAACTTTTTTACTATCATTATCAATTAATAAATATTGTTTTTGCGCGGTGATTATGATTTTTTTTTTATGTTTAGGCCGAACTGGCAGACTCTTATTAAAAACAAGAATTTTAGAACATCGCATTTATGTTATCTCCGGACTGCTTTTTTCTATTCCCGATAAGATGCAGAGATTTTTTAGACAGATAAGAAATAAAATAAATAGTTTATTCAATCAATTATATATTATACAGTGTTGTTATGTATGTTGAACTATTTTAGCTTTTTTGATTACATTTGTATTAATTATAATTGCACAAAAGCAAACTTGAGAATTTAAATAAAATATATTGTTTTCTTATAAGAAATTTACTTTATTAAAAAGTTGGTGTTTTGCCGTTCGAGAGATTATCTTATATATTTTTTCACAACATTCGAGATTATATCATCAATGTTCAATAATAGCATTACTCTAATGTACAGAATTATAATAATATCACATTATCAAATAGGAACAAGCTAATAAGAGAATTAATTTGATCTACTATTCTATATAAAATTCAATCCAAGTTTATTTATTAAATTGTCTTTTAATACTAAATACATTAAAATGAATATTTTGTGAAAAATATACGCATATAGGTATGTAATCAGAAATGAATTTCTCGGAAAGAGCTGTCAAATTTGAAACAAAATTATTGTCATCTTTTATTAGCTGAATGATCGCGACTAATATTCGCTCTTTTTCTCTATTATTATTATGTCAATCGATGTGTTTGAAATAATCCAAATCGATAATGTTGACATATTCGGATTTGTATAAAAAGGTCGTCAAGAATGTTTTTTTCTTTTATTTAATATATATTTACCTTCTTATATTTAATATATATTTACCTTATTACATATAATTAAATATTTTACTCTGACGTTAATTCTGATTATTTTCTTTAATATATTAAAGTTATAATCATTTAATTTTTATGTTATACCTATATATATGACTCTCTCTCTCTCTCTCTCTCTTTCTCTCTCTCTCTCTCTTTCT